GGGGAGGTGTCTGCAGGTCGCGGGGAGGCGGGTCGGGGGCGGATCCGCGGGCAGGTGCCAGTGCTCGTAGGCTAGGCAAGCATGATCCTTCGAGAACTCCGGGGCTCAAGGCCGAGTCGGCTGCTCCTCTAGGCGTCCAGTAGCGTAGATCAGCAGCACACAGACGCGCCGCGGCATTTTTCTGGCGTAGGTCGGTATTTCAGTGTGGCGTGCGAGAGTTTGCGTTCGTATTGGTAGGAGACGGTCGGTTGTCTTGCTCAGCTGGTTTCAAATGCCGCGTTGAGGGCGGATCTGCCTGCCTCGCCTGCAAGTGCTCAGGATTAAACAGCGTTGAGCCACCACGGACTGCAATTGTGTGTTTTGATGGGTATGATGTTTTATGATGCTTTGATATCTTGAGTCCACAGTCAGCAGCACTGCCCCTTCCACGGGGTGGGGACATGCTGAGATGCAACACTTGCTGGTGGGTGCCTGTTCATATAAAGCCAACCAAGCCAAGGCCCTTTCCTCCAATCGGAGCCTGCCTTGTATCACTGTTCGAGTCCGGTGAGGCAAGTTTCCCCCTGCCCTAAGACCTCAGCGCCAGTCTGCGAACATCTTACGCGGGACCAGCTGGTATGCCGGAAGCTGCTGATATTAGTTCAGGACGTATCTTGTCCTAAACCGGTTGCTCAAAGAGCGCTTGCTCCCTGCGTGCCTTTTTCCCACGTGGCAAACACGAAATAAAAGCTCTGGATACTTGGGGTCCGCTGTGGCCTGGTGCCCGTTTCCACTCTGGGGAATCCGGCTGAGGTGCAACGCGCTAAGAGCTCTTGTCTTAGAGGCATCGTGGTGTCTCTGATGGTCTGCTACCGTGAGTCCCAGCACCTGATTCAACGCGGGAACATCCGGGGGATACATTTTTAAAAGAGGACCAGGGTTGGAAAGTGAGGTGGCGCGTGTGGGGTTTCTGAGTCACTGGAGAAGTTCCCAACAAGAGGTAGGGTAGGAATTGGAGGAAATGGGTGGGGGGGCGGGAGATGATGGGTGACTCGAGGGGCTGAGACATCCCGGACGATGACAGCAAAGCAGGGCTGCGGGTGGTGGTGTTAATTAGATCAACGAGAAACATGAGGATTAAGCTTGTGCTTTTAGAGTGGGAGAAATGTTTTGGATGGACATGGGAGGCCTGCAGGCCCAGCCCACCTCCAGGGTCCAGAGGCTGACCCAGGGGGTGTGTGAAAAACATCTGCACCTGAGAGAGAGGGATCACAGAAGGCACAGCTGGGCGGATTACTAGAACGGGGGCTGGGGGGAGGATGGCTCAAATGGACAGGTATGAAGCAGAAAGCCCTCTGGGATGTAGACGGTCGCTGGAGACGCCGCGACGTAAAGACAACTTCATTTCTGCGCTCGATACTGTTCTCTCTCTCCCTCTTTGCGCCTGAACACTCTTCCTTGGACTTCTACTTCATGGGACATTTGGGAACAGGCCCAAATCAGAATTCCCAGGTTGCACAGCGGCTTAGAGCAGAGAGGATCTGCACGTGTGGCCAGTAGACGCCTCCCTCCCTGGAATACCGGCCCTATGGAGACGAGGGGCCTGCTTTGGGTCCCTGAGCAGCCACTGCCATGGGCCCGGTAGGACTGCGCGGTCTCCCCGCTGACTGCCTCAGCTGGCAGTGGACCTTCCAGGCTGTGGAGTGCGCCCCCTTATCTGGAGACGGGACAGTTCTGGGCGTCTAGTATCAAAACTTCGATGTCGCCAGGGGCCGCTGTTTCACTTACCAGGATCTACAGAACCAGGAGTATCAAAATGTTTCAGCCTGCAACGCCAGGAGGGCTCGGATGCTGGAAATCCAGGCATTTGGAGCTGAGGAGGATCCGCTGAAGGCCTAGGAGTTTGAAGACCGCCTGAGCGACAGAGAGACTCCGGTCTCTACAAAAGACGAAACAACTGAGACTAGCCATGCATGGTGCATGCCTGTGTCCAGCGTACTGGGAGCTGAGGGCAGTGAGATCGTTCGAGCGCACGGGAGTTGGGAGGGCTGGCAGTGAGCTGTCGTACGGAAGGCCATCTTGCAGCCAGGCTGAGAAGTGAGCAGAGCAGTGCTCTCACTGCTCCCGATTTCCTCCAAAACGAGTGTGGTAGCCTAGGCCGAGTGGCTGCCAACCCCTCTGGCCCGTACTGCCAGCCATGTGACAGACCCTCTTGCTCAGCCCAACCCCCACCGTGGGAACTGGTGTCTCTGGGAAGGGCGCGCTCTGCCACTCCTAGACAGCGGTCTTGGTATTCGAGGTGTTGCCCCGCGGTGCGCTTCAGCCGTTCACCTCTCCACAAAGGGGAGCTTTAGAAAACAGGGTAAATCAGAGTTATTCCTCCCTGGGTCTCGCAATGCATACATGCCGCCCCGCGCGGTCCACGCACTGCGCCGCCGCGGAGCGCCGGACGCCGCTCGGTGCGCACCGTCTTCCAGGCGCGCCCGCCAGGCTGCGCCAGTGTCGGCCTCTCTCGGGACCCGCAGGCTGCGCTCAGCGCCTGCGGAGTCCCGCACTGGCTCTGGGCCTTCCGTGACGTCCTCTTGAAAAGTTGAGTGGCGAAGGCCCTGGCAGGAGTGTCCTGTAGCAGCAGCTGGGGAGACGCACCTCGCCGCCTCCCGGCCAACGCGCTCCGCCCCCAGGACAGGGTGAGCTACCGTGGAGCGCTCTGCGCGTCAGGCTACCTGCAAGCCGGCGCAGCGCAGCGCGAACGTGCTCCACGCTCTTGCTTGCCGTGGCGGGTAGGGCGGGCCCGGGCGGGTCTGTAGGGGTGGAGCGGGCCGGGGCCGGGCGGGTCCCGCGGGTAGGCAGGACGAGGCGGCGGCTGCGGGAGGGTGTCTGCAGCGGTGCGCGGAGCGGTTCGGGGCGGGATCGCGGCTGGAGGTTGCAGGCGCGAAGCCCGCGGTTCCGGCGGCCGGGGGGGTGGGGGGACCGCGCGGCCGCGGCCGGGCGGTCCGCGGGTGAGGGAGCGGGGCAGGCGGTCGCGGCGGGGGGGGGGGGGGGTTTTTTTTTCTCTGGGTCACGGGGAGGCGACCGGGTGGCGATCCGGCGGCCGGGCGGTGCTGCAGGGCGCGGGGAAGGTGCCGGGCGGCGGGTCCGCGGGCGCGGCGGAGGAGGCCGGGCGGTCGCGGCGAGGGGAAGGGGTCAGCGGGTCCGCGGGCGGGAGGCTCCATGCGGTGGCGGAGCGGCCGGGGGCGTATCCGCGGCCGGGCGCGGTCCGTGCAGGACGCGGGGAGAGTGGGCGGGCGGGTCGGCGGGTGGCGCGGCGGGCAGGGAGGCCCAGCGGGTCCGGGGCGGTACGCGGTCTCCAGGGTCGCGGGGAGCGCGGGACCGGGGCGTCTCCGCGGCGCCGGGCGGTCTGCAGCGCCGACGAAGGCGCGGACGTCCGCGGCGGGGGGGGAGAAGGGCCAGGGCGGCGTCGCGCGCGGGGGGCGGGTCTGCAGTCGTGGGGAGGCGGGGGGCGCGGTCGCGGGGCTGGGGAGGCTGCTTCGCT